GGGACTGCCTTTCAGAGCACCCAGGGAAACTCCCAGGCCAGAGCCTTGCAGCCACCCAACTGGTGGATGTAAGCGAGCCCCTTCCAACTGTCCATCCATGCTACATCCCTGAACCCTCTTAGAGTCCTCCTGTCCTTATCCTACTCCCTAATATGTCCCCTCCCTGCCCCCTCCCTGCCCTCCATCATGGGGACCGGGTGGGCTTCCTGATTGCCATGGCAACTGCCTGCGGCCTTCCTAGGTTGGCACCCCTCTTCTCTTCACACCCCATTCTAGCAAGCAAAGCCAGAGAGATGTGGCTATAGCAACTTCAGAACCTGTCAACTCTGCTGCTCAAACCCTTCAATGTCTTTTTCTGTCCTTAGATACAAGCTAGGGTCCTGGCCACGGTCTGGGGGTCCTGTGTGCTCTGGATTCTGCCCACCCTATCTCAGGCCCCGCTCTATCTCCAGGGACTGGCTTCCCTCCTTGCCTTGCTGGCCCTTCCCACATACCCCACCCGCTTTCCCATCCCTGCCACCGTCTTTCCGTCCAGTCACTCATCAGGGCTCTTTTGATCTTAGCTCTCCTGTTTGCTCTTTGCCTCACTCATAGGAATCAAGGGCTGGGGCAGCAGTGGCTGGGAGGACTCTCCTCCCCGCTTAAAAGGCCCAGGGCTTGGCGTCAGCCCCTGGCCATGGGCACTGAGATCCTGTGTCAGGTGCAGGCTTTGCTGGTCCGTGCAGTCCAGAGGCTCATGTTAGACACTGCCCTGGGTCCAGGTCAATGAACCACAGGCAGCCTGAATCCCTGACGCCCAGGTCACCCCTGTCTCTGGCACTTCCTTCCCTGATAGCCCACCACCACCAGCCAGGGCCTGGCCTGGAGCTCCCAAGAAACCTAGCCCTGCTTCTGGGGCCAGGCCGCTCAGCCCCTGGCCTGATTCCTGGGTCTGTTACTGTCCCCTATCTCTACTCCAGCAGCCCAGACTTCATACACTGAGAACCAGCTGGCAGCCTGGTAACTGAGAGCCTGTCCAGCAGCTTCTCAGTCACACCCCATGCGAAGACACATTTTCTGTATCACGTGCTCCCGACACACACACACACACACACACACACACACACACACACACACACACACACAGGTTCCTCCTTCTCTGGCCATGTCCACCTGCCCATCATGCCATTTATCCTCAGTCCCTCAGTCTAAGACTATTGCTCCCCCTATCCCAGGGCCCCTTCCAGGGCTGGCCCAGCATCACCTCTGCTAGGATGTTCCCAGGCAGAAATCAGTCAGTCTTGGCACCTGGGATGCCACATTGCGTTGATTTACAAACCAGACTTTTTCCCTCCTAGACCCACAACCCCGGCCAGCTGCTGGGAACCCCACTGGAAGAGGCCTTGCCCCTCAGTGTGACACATGTATGCCCCGCATCCAGGAGCCCACTATGGATCAGGCCCAGCAGCCTCAGGCAGGGTTTTCCTCGGATCAGGAGGCGGAGTTGGGAGGCGTTTCTAAGCATGGGTGCTACAGGAAGAGAAAGCAGCCGCCAGCCAGGGACTCAGGAACCCTGGGTGGTTGTCTAAGCCGAGTGTAAAGTACAAGGGACAGGGAGTGGGGCGATAAGCCTGGATTAAGAGGCAGCAGTACACCTCATGAAAAGTCTCACCTGTCACTCAAGGGGGCTTTGGGTGTTAACCTGGTGCAGTGATGGCTTTTGGGGCAGAGGCGGTCAAACATCCATCGAGGAGCGCAAGTGTTCAGTGCTAAGGCTAAGATACTGCTTGATGCCCATGTCCCTCTCGGGCCTGCTGCCAGTCCCAGCTCCAGTCCTCCCTCCAGCTTCTTGCTACTCCACACCCTGTTCCTGTACTTGGGCTCCTGTCACCCACGTGGGACACCCAGATTGAATTGTCCTGCTCCTGGCTTTATCTTGATCCAGCCCCCAGCTGTTGCAGCCATTAGGGGAGTAAGTCAATGGATGGAAGCTCTCAAACTCTCTCTCTCCCTTTCTTCCATTAGGAAATATCCTATGTCTGCAATGAGAAAAGTGATTGGTAACAACAGGAGTGGAAGTAGATGGGTTAGGGACTGTGCCATGGCCAAAGGCAGAGGATTTGAGGGGGTCTGGGCAGAGGTGTTGAGGAGGTGAGGCTGATAGAGGGGGAGGGTGCCCTAGCCGAGACAGGAACAGGAAGTGGGGCAGGGGCTGGGTTGTCTAGATGAGGAAAGGGGCTCAGGTTGTGTTCAGCAGCACGTGGGTCCCTCCACGCCCCAAGCCCTAGCTCCCCGCCAACCCTCAGTTCCTTGGTAAGAGTGTCTGCTGTGATCACATTGACTCAGCGGGGAGGCCGATGGACAGGACCTGGCCTGCCAGAGTGGGCAGGAGCTAGGCTCAGCTGAGCACCAGAAAGCTAGAGTTTGGGGGGTGGGGGGAAGGAAAGGGGAACATGGCTTTGGTCTTGATGGGGCCAGAGCTGGGGCTGGAGTGGCAAGAAGCTGAGGTAAGGCCTAGGAGCTGAGACGCCAGGAGAGGCCCACAGTGCCTCTGTTTGGGGCTGGCCCCACTGGGCCTCTGAGCTGCCGCCAGACTTCCCAGGGGCCCACACCAGTCCCAGCATTCCAGGAAGGCCAGTCCCTGGGTTCCACTTCCTGGACTTCAGGCCACATCCAGCTGTGTTGGCAGGAATGGAGGTGGGCACTGGGGCAAGATCTCCTGGGCTTTGTCACAGACCCCACCCCCGGGGGCCCACACAGTGCACCTGCGGCTTCTCTGCAGCACAGTAGCCATGCTGGGCTCTGAATCCAGATCCTATGGGCCATGGCTGCCCTCTCATTCTGCCTCCAGTACCCAGTGCTGATCCAGGGTCTCAGAGGAGGTGCAATCAAAAGACAGAGAGACAAGAGGAGGCCCTACCTACAGTCAGAAGCTTTCAGAAAAGGAATCTGAGAAGGGGAGCGGGTGGTTAAGCTCAGGGCACCCATCCTAATGGCCCTGTCACATCACAAGCCAGTTTGCTATTGGGTGGGTGGTGGCCTGGGAGGCACCAAGGTCCAAAGAGCACGGGTGTGGTTGCCTCCACAGCCACTCCACAGCTGCTGGGCCACCTGCACTGTCTGGGCCACTGGCAGAAGAAGCCACTGCTGGCGGGCTGGCCGCCACCAGTCCTTCCAAGGACCACCCACCAGACCACATAGGCACAGGTAAGAGCCTGACCCCCAAGTGGGAGAGCAGAGCCACCACCACCAGCTCCACAGGGGAGCCCAGAGCAGGTGGCTTTCCAAGCCAGAGGATCCACCACAAAGGGGCTCGTGGTGCTGGTTAGTGGGCTAGGAGCAGAGCCAGGCGGACAGAAAGCTGTCTGGGTACTCCCACAGGTGTCTGTGGCATGGATGCCCACCCTCAATTCAAGGTCCCACATTTGGAGGGTGGGTAGTGGGGTTGGTATGGTTTTCCCTCCCTGACCCCTTGGAGCAGCTAGGCAGGCCAAGGGCAGCTCCTCCCTCTCTCCTATGGTCAGGATCTTCAACAGCTGCTATTTCCCAACCTTGACCTGCTGACACAGCATGGACCACCTGGGCATTGAGGGTAGCAGGGAGCCAGGCCGAGCAGCTTGGAGCTGATTTTTCCCTTCGTCCCTTCTGCCTGGAGAAGCAGGAGGTGTCACAGCTAGGGGTGGGGGAAAACCTGGGCGTGCTCCCTCCCATCCAAGAGGAAGAGGCTCTCTCTTTCCCAGCAAGCAGAACGCAGACAGCTGCCTCTGCCACGTGCCCCATCCCTGGCCTCCGGTGATTCATCTGTCCCCCAATGATTCATCTTATCAGGGCCCACATTCTTTTCCTAACAGTCCCTGTGATCAAGCGCGGGCTGCTCTCTGACACTTTGCCCAGGGTATTCTGGAGACACCCACCAACCCGATAGTCTGTTCACGGGCACACGGGCACGTTCGCCCCTGCCCCGTGGATGCACACACACGGGCACTGGATGGGATTCTGCTCCATTTCCACAGGTCTGTGTTTTGGAGCCCTTGGGGCCAGCGCCGTGACATGGGCACACTTGCCAAAGGTGAAAGCAGGGGAGGGGCGGCCAGCCGGGTCGTGGCCCAGTATCTGCTCTGGCTTCACTTGTGGGCTCTGGCCTGCCACCCTCTTGCTTATAAGTGCAGCTCCTACCAGCGCCCACCGTGGGAGGTCGTTTCCAGGGCTGAATAGGGTTAATGAGGGTCAAGCCCTCCCAAACAGCATTTGGTACCGATTAAGTAGAGCTGGGGTCTGTGTGATGCTGACAAGTGGATATGTGGTGCCAAGCACCCAACACCAGCCCCAGCGATAACTGACAGCCACCAGTAAATGAGCTTAGGCGTGAAATTAGGGCGGCTTTCTGGGCTCAGGATGGCACTGGTCAAGGAGGGCTTCTCCAAGGGAGTGATCAGTAAGCCAGGATTGGAAAGTGCCCTGGGCAGAGGAGTTGGAGAGACACAGTGTTGGCTGTGACCAGGTCAGATATTCAAGGAAGAACTAATCACTGACAGATCCTGCAGAGCACAGCCTTGAAGGCACATGCACGCACACAGGTGTACACAGCACACACATATACACGAATACGTACGTGTGTGCACAGATACACACGTATACACATGCACACTGTACACATATCCCTGTGTGTGCATGCCCAGAAGACACACTCACACACATATATACACTCACATACATACATACTGCGAGGATCCCCAGCTCACGGACAACATCAGCTTCCTCCTGGTTTCCAGACTGAGCCGAGGGTAGAGATGCATCCTCACTGTGGCAAAGAAGATGACTGAACCCTGGGCCCTCTCTATGAGTCTGGTTGCAGCGAGTGTCATGCTCCTGGTGCCAGGACTGGGGTAGGGGGCAGTCGTAGAGGCCTGGATTGGAGCAGCAGCCACTTACCCACCACATGCTGTGTGCCTGGACAGGCTATGAAGGCTTTCTCTCCTGCTGGTCATAGGTTCTAAGGGTGTCGTCCTCACCACGTCAACATGTCCCGGCCCAGCAGCAGAACCATCTATGGTAAACTCCCACCCAGCCTCTTCCCCACTGGAGCCCGCTGAGTGCCCTGCCCTGACTCTCCCTCCTGACTTGCCTGCTCCTGCTTCTGTGTCCCACAGAGCACCGGAAGCAGTACTCAAACAGCCTGACCTCGGAGCCCACCCTGGTGCAGCACAGGGTGGAGGTGAGTGTCTGACTGAGTCCATGTGTTCCCAGGTACCCGCTGCCCTGCCTACACAGCCAACTGGCCCAGGTCCCCTGCTAACCAGATCCCTGCAAACTGGCCCGAGTGGAGTGCCAGAGAGTAGGAACCTTGGGGCTGACTGAGCAAGTCTGCCTGGAAGCTGGGGAACAGAAGCCTGTCTCCAGAAAGGTGGAAGCAGCAGGGATGGCCCAGAAGCACCTGCACCATCCCATCCATTCCTGCCTGATGGCTCCCGTCTCGTTCCTGCACGCAGCCCCAGGGAGTTGCTGTGTGCCCAGGAGCAGTGTGGTGGAGGGAGGCAGCCATGGGCAGGGAGGGCAATGTCTGGACCTGAGCTTCCAGGGTGGCAGGGATGGCTCAGCTTGGAAGGGTGGGGCTGGCACGGCAAGCTCCCAGTGCACAACAGCACAGGCTCCAAAGAGGCAGGCTGAAATGCTAGGATGGACTGCCAATTCCCTTCCCCACTCCTTACCTCTGACAACTGAGAGATTAGGGCTCTGATGGAGAAGCACAGAGGTTAGGTGAGGCTCTGGAGTTCCAAGGGCCTGGCAGACACAGTGCTATGCTGCAGGGCCAGGTAGGGGCTGGGCAACAGCTACATTTCAGCTGAGCAGACAAGAGCAAGAGGAGACAGGTTCAGGAAACATCCCGAGGGAGAGGGCAGTGAGGCACAGGAAGAGGAGCAGGAGACTGGGCGGAATAGGGAGGTTGGAGTGGGTGAAAGGCAGCACCTGTGTCTCCCACCTCCGACAAGGAACCTTGGTGGGTGCTGACAGGCCTCCTAGAAAGGAGTAAGAAAAGGCTGGCCAGGAATGGTCCAGCAACATTCAGCTCATTAGGACCTCCAAAGTGGGGTGTAGGGAGTCGGGGGAGCTGGTTCCTCTGACCGAGATACCAGGAGGGGGGCATTGGCAGATGTGAAAATGACATCTGGACGTGGGCAACAGCATGAGCAAAGGTATGGAGACAGAAACGCCAGGCCAGTGAGGAGGACAACCAAGCTAGCAGAAGGGAGGTCCCAGCGGGAGCAAAGAAAGCCCAGGGCAGTCAGGGAGGTGCCCACCCCAAGCATTGGAGTTGGATGTCATCTGTTGCTGGGGACCCTCATCCACAACCCCTCAGCCTTTCCCCCTGCCTGATTTGTTATAAACCATGAGTTCCCTTCTCCCAGGATGTACAAGTCTCTTGTGTAGCCCTTGGCACCCAGGTTCACAAGCCCCCTCTGCAGGTTGACCACTTCTACACTGGCCTTCATGTATGGGTCTTGGGAGACTGCTTTCTTGGGAACCAAGGCCTCTCAACACCCAAGGGACCCAGGATCCGTCTTCCTCCTCTACTGCCTTCCCCGCCCCCTCCCATCAACTGTGACCCCATCCGCAGCCTCTCTGAGCCTTCTCCCAATCCTGACTCCTCCCCTCACCCCAGCACCTGATGACATGTAAGCTGGGCACGCAAAGAGTTCAGAAGCCCAAGGATGCCCTGCAGAAACTGCAGGCGATGGACGCGCAGGGCCGGGTGTGGAGCCAAGATTTGATCCTGCAGATTCGAGATGGCTGGCTCCAGCTGCTGGACATCGAGACCAAGGTCAGCCCCATCCCACCCCACCCTCCAAGCATTGGAAAGTAAACATAGGGCCATGAACTCAACCTTCCATGCCCCCACAGAACAGCCATTACTTCTCAATTTAGTACATCATATACACTCAGGTCAGGAACAGAGGCAGAGCCATAATTGCTGACACCCTAGCCCAGGCCACCAGAGGGCTTGGGGAACCCTGTCAGGAGTCCCCAGGAGCCAGGCCGGGCTCTTAATGGTCTCACCATTGGCATCTTTACCTGGCCCAGGAGGAGCTGGACTCTTACCGCCTGGACAGCATCAAGGACATAGACGTGGTGCTCAACTCCTGCTCCTACAATTCCATCCTGTCCATCACTGTGCAGGATCTGGGCTTACGGGGCAGCTGCACCCTGCTCTTCCAGTGCCAGGAAGTGGGGGTGAGTGGCCTGGGGTAAGCTTTAATGACTGTCACACGGGCACACACACACGGGCCTACCACTGTCTGACTGACTGTCATTTCATCCAGGCTGAGCAGATGAAGATCAGTGTGCAGAATGCCATGGATGAGGAGCTACGGCAAAGGTAATCAGCCTCTGCTCAGCCCACCTGTGTGGCTGCACAGCTCAGACCTTGCTTGGTTGGTGGGAGAGGGAGGGCAGGGCAAGCCCTGATCCCATAGCTTGGGACACCCAGGAACCTGTGGCTCAGCCAACCTGGGCCTGACACTGGGGAGGAGCTAGGGGAAGAGATGAGGGTGCAGAGGGCTCCGGATTGTGCCTGGAGATCCCTAGGGGAGCTGAGAGGCCCCTGGATGTCTGACACATGAGGCAAGGGGTGCCAGGACAGGCCATATGGAGATCAGAAAAGAGAAAGTCTATGGGCCAGACGTGTGGAAAGAGCCTAAGATATATCCCCAAACTATGTTCCCAGCAGACCCCGTTTTGAAAGCCTTCCCCAAGGCCAGGACAGGTGGAGGGTGTCCTCTCTGCAGAGGCCCCTCCCTGTGCAGCAGCCACCCCCTCTGGAGCGGGGACCACTTCCAGAACAGCCCCGCCAAATGATGCCAGAGTACAGTAAGTTTTGGGCACAGGGGGGCAGGTGAAGGAGAAGCTTTCCATCAAACATTGCAGATGTTCCAGGTTTCCTGTTTCCTCCCCTTGCAGGCAGGTCCCCATCCCCTGAGCCCCTGTCCCGGCGACCCAGTGTCCGAGAGCTTAGTACCTTCCCTCTGTCTCCTCCAAGGCGCTCCCCATCCCCTGAGGATCCAGAGAGAGATGAGGTAACCATACCTGGTCTTGGGACTGGGACAAAGGAAGACACCAGCTCTCTCTCTCTCTCTCTCTCTTTCTCACAGGCCAGGGCACCATAATGGCCAGGGCAGGTTTTGGGCTGAGGAGGGAAACAGGAGGAGATACAGGCTGACTCCAGACTGAGGCTGAGACTGGAGCTTGTGGGGGGAAAGGGAATTCTGGGGTGAGCCATTAGGTGGCACCCTTGAGGTCATGGGTTGTTGGGGATCTCAGGAGGTGCTGAATCATGTCCTCAACGACATCGAGCTGTTCCTGGGGAAGGTGAATGAGGCCAAGGCCAGGAGTGACCGTAAGAAGAAGAAGAAGAAGCTTGGGAAGAAGAAAAACAACAAGGATGAGGCGGGTGAGAGCTGAGGGGCAAGTGCATGGGCTGGGGATGGGGATGTTTACAGGGTGATCTGTGGCCTTTCCACTTGCGCCCTTTCTCCCACAGAATTGACAGAGGCACAGTACATCGACTGCTTCCAGAAGATCAAGTTCAGTTTCAACCTGCTGGTATGTGGCTCCCTCTCCCTCGTGAGCAGCTCTGAGACCATGCCAAGGCTTTTCCACTTCCAGCTTCTGCTCACCTTGGGACTCTCAAGCCAGGCCCAGGACAAAACAGATGCTAGGGTCCTAGTGAAGGTGGCATGGGGTGCAGGCAGTGACAGGCACTGCCCCATGTCCCCAGGCGAAGCTGGCTCTGGAGTTGCAGGAGACAAGTGCCCCCGACTTCGTGCACATCCTCTTCCGTGCTCTGCAAACCGTGAGTGGAGTGGGAACATGGTGGAGGTGGAAGGGGAACAGAGGGAGAAAGGGAGACTGGAAGAGGAGTGGGCAGCAGAGACAGAGGGAGGCTGCAAGCCTGTCATGAGCTCACCCACACAACCTCTTCCATGACCCCAAGGACGGCCCTTGATGTACACAATACCCCTTGCCCTCCCTACAAAACCCAATGGGCTGGGGTCGACACCCAGAACACGAGGGCTCCCAAGCAGGTGGGAAGCAGCTGCAGCCTGGTGCAGATGGCAGGCTGGCAAGAGACAAGACAACCTTGTGAGCCTGGACAGCTGTGGATCCCAGGTCCTTACCCACTCACTTTGGCCCTAACACCGCCGCTCCTCGCCTCCCCAGATTCTGTCCTGGTGCCCTGAGGCTGGCCTCGCGGCTCAAGTGACCTCACCTCTCCTCACCCCCAAAGCCATCAACCTGCTGCAGTCATGCCTGAGCCCACCTGAGAGCAATCTCTGGAAGGAGCTGGGCCCAGCTTGGAGCACCAGCCGGTGAGTAAAGACAAGGCCTGGCCTGGGTTGGCAGTGAGGAGCTGCGGGGCCTTGGGACATTGAGCAGGATAGTCGAGGTACCCAGGCCCTGCACTGACACAAAGCAGAAAGATGGCAAAGTGCTGGGGTTGACTCCACAGCCACATGTTCCCCACGATCCACCAGGTTGTAGTGCAAGTCGAACCTCGAATACCAGCACCAGCCACGAACTCATCAGAAAAGGCCTTGAGCTTTAGACAAGAAGGCACTTCTTCCCAAGAAGGGAGAGGTGGCCAAGGGCAAAGTGGAAACTCGATCTCAGTCCAGCCCAGAGTATTAGAATCTCCAGCACCAGGCGTGCCACAGATGGAGCAGTTCTCTGAGGGTTGGCAATCAATTGACAGGTGGCTAAGAGAAGAGGGACGGGGGTGGAGGATCTAGGGCAGCTGCGGGACAGGCAGGTGGGCCCAACGGCCACTCTGCTGGGTGTCCTGGGAGCAGGGCATGAAGCAGGCTGTGCACACTATGCTGAGGTGACACTGTCACATTCTTCTGGGTTCTGGGGGTCACAGGGAGGGGTGCTATGGGCAGAAGAGGGGTGGTTAGAGCAATAGCTCTAGCAGAGGCCCTTCTGGGAGTGTCTGGAACAAGCACCATCTACCTCCCAAGAGAAGAGGCCATGGCCTCGGAAACGCATATAGCAGGGCAGAAGGAGAAAGTGGTAAAGCAAAGAGAGAGACAGAGGGTTCAAACTAGGGCCCAAAGGGCTGAGACACGAAAGCCAAGAGAGAAGGGGCTTTTAAGAACAAAACCATCCAAGGTCCAGCCTAATAGCCCAGTGGCTAAAAATCCTCACCTTGCATGTGCCCAGAACCCACATGGGCACTGGTTCATGTCCTGGCTGCTCCAGTTCCGATCCAGCTCCCTGCTTATGGTCTGAGAAAGCAGTGAAGGACAGTCCAAGGCCTTGGGACCCTGCACCTGCATGGGAGACCTGGAGGGGGGTTCCTGGCATGGCCATTTCTATAACTCCTTCTCTCTGTATATCTGCCTTTCTGATGAAAATAAATAAATCTTTCAAAAAACAAAACCAAACCCAGAGCTATCTGCAGGTGCACAAGCCACTTGTGTTTCTTTTCATCTTAAGCATGTGAGTTAGTGGCCCTAAGTACATCAACAATGTTGATGACCAATGCCATTATCCATTTCCAGAACTCTTTTGTCATCACAGGCAGAAAATTGGTATCTATTAAAGGAGAATCCCCAGCACCCGCAGCCTCTGACACCCTCCTGTCTAGGTTCTGTGTGTGGGAATCTCCCTACCCAGCTACATCTTCCAAGTGACCCAGACCATGTCTGTTCCCCTTTTTCCAGCTAGTTTCACTTAGTTTAATGGCCTCAAGTTTCATCCCCGATATGGCAGTTATCGTGGGATCCCTCCTTTTCATGGTCCAATAAGAATCCAAGAACTCCATCCAGGTCTTCCGTGTGGTTGCAGGAGCCCTAGCACTTGAGCCATCTTCTGCTGCTTTTCCCAAGCAGCCAGGGAGCTGGATCAGAAGTAAAACAGCCAGGACTCCAACAGGCACCCATATGAGATGCCAGTGTTGTGGGCAGTGAGGGGCTTTACCTGCTATGCCAAACACCAGTCCCAGAAGAACAGATTTTGAGACACTTTCTCAGGCTACTTACCAAAATGAAGCAACTCATGGGTTCTGGACCTGCCACTTCGTATCAGAGTTCAAGGCCCAGAACCTCGGGGGTTACCCACACGTAGTCGTCTAAGGCAGTTGGAGTTCATGGGCACTCACAGCTATGCTGGACTCACCCTGTCCATGGGGACACTCTGGCATTTGCCTCGTGCTAAGCACGAGAGGGACATGGAGGTTGTGAAGCAGCAAAGACTTGAAGTTGTTTGTTTCAGGCACTTTAGTATCAAATAGCCCTGGGGGACACAGTGGGGTCAGGAGGCGAGTGAGGACCAGGACCAAAGCAACTCTGCCAAGGAGGTGACGTTCCACCCTCCATTTAGTAGTTAGAAGGAAAGAGACCTCTGTCTGGGAAGCTACATATGGACTATAGAAATATTGCATAAGACCCCAAGGGGGTTGGCACAGCAAACCCCCAATCAGGGAGATAACATGTCCATTGTGACCTTGTGGAGGAAGTAGGTGTGCACTCTGTGGGCTCAGGAGAGGCTGGTTCAGGGGGCTTGCACCAAGGAATTTGTGTGTTTGCAGCGGTGGGCTGCCTTGTGGTTGTGCTGGGTGCTTGGGAGGGCTCTGTCACCACGGGTTGAAGATCCCCAAGGCTGGGCCTTTCATCTGACACGGCAGACACAGCCCCACCCAGTCTTCTCCTTTCCCTCCAGGGCTGACTGGATAGGCAAGGAGCCAGAGCCCTACCGACCCACGTTCTCAGATGGCTGGCAGCTTCCAGAACCCTCCTTCCAGGTAAGGGGCATTCAGCATGGAGCTCAACCAAGGCAAAGCCCTGGTCTCTGGCTAGTTGCTGCTGCCTCCCAGTCCAACCATGGCCATGGGATGACTAAGCAGTGGGAGGGTTCGTGTGGGTGCCTGCATTTGTCAGGGGAGGTGGGAAAGCAGGTAGCAGGCAGCAGGGGAGGGAATAGGCTGTGGGCTGTGGGCTATTAGCCCAGCAACCTGCCGCTGTGCGGGCTGCCTCCCGCTATTGCTCACTCTCTGTTCTGTCACTTCCAGGAACACTTTGAACGCCGGGACTCTGTCATCCCACGGTATGCTCTGGGCTCCACAGGGACCACGGGTCACCTGGAGGGAAGGGTGGGGCTAAGTCTTTGGATCTCTGGTTGTCTGTTCCTCATATCCTGCTGGCTGGCTCTTCAAAACTATATATATATATATAATTTATTTGAAAGGCAGCTACAAATTGAGAGGTCTTTTTTTCTTTTTTAAAGAACTATTGTGTTTATTACACTTTAAAAGAAAGATTTATTTATTTTTATTGGAAAGGCAGATGCACAGAGAGAAGGGGATACAGAAAGAAAGATCTTCCATCCACTGATTCACTCTCCAAGAGGCTGCAATGGCCAGAGCTTAGCTGATCCAAAGCCAGGAGCCAGGAGTTTCCTCTGGGTCTCCCACATGGACACGGGTCCCAAGGCTTTGGACAATCTTCAGCTGCTTTCCCAGGCCACAAGCAGGGAGCAGGATAGGAAATGGTGCCAGGCTTAGAACCGGCACCCATATGGGATTCCAGTGCATTCAAAGTGAGGACTTCAACCATTAAGCTACCGCGCCGGACCTGAGAGAGATCTTCCATCCACTGGCTCACTCCCCAAATGGCTGCTGTGCCTGTCCAAAGCTAGGAGCCAGGAGCCTCCTCCATCCAAGTCTCCCACATAGGTTTGGGGCCATCTCCACTGCTTTCCTAGGAGTACTAACAGTGAGCTGAATTGGAAGTGGAGCAGCCGGATCTCCAACCAGCATCAGGCTCTCTTAGTCAGCCCTGGGCATGTGCAGACACACACTTGTCCTGCCATGCATGCTCCTGGGCTCTCAGGGTTCTCAGGGCTCCCCAGGCTCCCATACTAAATGCTCAGAGCAGAACTCAGCTGAAGACAACCCCACTGCTACAAATAGCTCCAGAAATCCATGGCTGAAAGAGGAGGGCAACATTTCAGTCCCCTCCTGTCTGCAGAACTTCCCCACCCCAAGCCCTGTCTAACACTGACCTGCCTCAGATCCCACAGAAACCCTGAAATCACTACCAGGGCGCAGGCAGCAAATGCAGACAGCCGGTGCTCCTGGGGTTGGGGCTAGGGGCTGGGAGTCGATGGATATCTGCAGCCCTTCCTGACTCTCTCTTCTGGTGGAAGCCCTGGGTTAGAGGGCAGCTCATACTTTGCTCCAGAGGACACACCCAGCTTCCAGTCCCCCAGCCCCTCACCTGCCAAGCCCACCATGAAAATGAAAGTCCTGTATGAGTTTGAAGCCAGGAATCAACAGGAGCTGACTGTGGTCCAGGGGGAAGTGCTGGAGGTGAGGTCTGGGCTTGGGGATTGGAGAAAGAGGTGGAGGGTGGTGGGAGCCACAGGCAGTCTAGGGAGGTGATCCAGGCCAACAAGGAGGGTGGCCTGGACAAGGAGGAGGGCGGTCAGGGGAGGGGAGGCTGGTTGGGCAGAGGCTCGGGGTGACTGATGCTTGAAGATGTTCGGCAGGTTCTGGACCACAGCAAGCGGTGGTGGCTGGTGAAGAATGAGGCAGAAAGGACGGGCTACGTCCCCAGCAACATCCTGGAGCCCCTGCAGTCGGGGGCCTCCAGGGACTGGAACCAGTCACCCCCTCAGGTATTACCCACCCTAAACTATCCAGAAACCATGGTTTTGAGACAGAGGCAGGGATGAGGAGGGATCCATAAAGAGTGGTAGAGACAAGGCCTGGGTGGATCGGACCCCTATTACTGGTGCCTTACTGGTACTAAGCTAATCCTAATTTGAGCCTAGAACAAGGCAGGACTCCCTGCCACTAGATCACAAAGCCATGGGAGTGAGATGTATGAACTGATAGGAGCCCAGAGAGGAATTGGGGTGACTGTGAGATGAACTGACTCCAGCCTCCTCCTACTTCTAGGCAACAATGCTTCGACTCAGCTCAAGGCCAGATGAGGTCAGAACTTGGCTGCAGGCAGAGAACTTCTCCACCATGTGAGTGCAAGCCTTGGCAGATGCTGGTGGGGTCACCTATATGAGGGACTCAGATAATAACCTAGGAAGCCAGGATCCAGGACACACCATGTGACTTTTGTGCTATATGACAAACCCGGTCCAGCATATCTTAGCCGAGCAGAGATGGGAGAGGGGTACTTAGAAGCTGCCTTAGATGTGCAGCCTGTTCCTGGAGGAGGGCTGTGAACCTGGAGGATCCTCCGCTGGCCACTCAGCCCCACTTCCCAGCAGTACACTTTCTCCCTTCCAGCCTGGCACTTCAGACACTGGATTAGGGCCGAAAAGCATGTGCCGCTCCTCCAAGTCCATGGCCCCTATTCTGATGCTATTCTTGCAGCCCTGCCCTCCAAGCCCACACAATCAATGCTCAACTCCTGTTTCCTCCCACCACCACACTAAGGGCTTCACTATTTTGTCCCCAGCACGGTGAGGAACCTTGGTTCGCTGACAGGAGGCCAGCTGCTCCGCCTGCGGCAAGGGGAACTACAGCTGCTATGTCCACAGGAAGCTCCGAGAGTCCAGGCCCGGCTGGAGGCGGTCAGAAGAACGCTGGGGGTGAGGATGCCCTGGGATCCCCCTGGGCATGCCCTGAGGCTCTGGGGCTCCCTCCCCTGGCACCGGCCTCATCTGAATCTTCTTCCCTTAGATAACTCCTTAGGCACCAGCACATATGTCTCCAAGATCCAGGACCAGGCCAGATGGAAGACTCGAACCCTTGAGAGCCCTGGGCGTTTGTCTTCCAGGTCCCCATACTGCAGCCAGTTGCACACCCCAGTTCGTACAGCCATGAGGAGGAGCATGTCCCGAGGTTGACGCAAAAGGTGCCCCCTTCTTGCTGTGTTGGAAGCCTTTCCTGGCTGCCACCTATTTATTTTACCTCTTCCCTCGGCCAGGCACACTCACATCTAGGTCGGTCAGGAGTCTGCTCCTTCTTCTCCTCCAATAAAAGCGTCTTGAAGCCTGTCATGTGCCTCCTGTGCAACTTCTTCCTGGTCAACAGTAGCCAAAGACAGGGGAGACAGGAAGGCCAGGGTCCCTGTGCACGAAACAGTGGCAACCCTGACAGTTCTTGGGCCGGCAGACAGTTTGAATGCAAGTGGCCATTCACGCTGCCACCTGCAGTCAGGAACCAGGACTGAAAGTTGGAGTCCAAAGTCCCCTTACTCTCTATCTTACTCCACTCTCCAGTGCTCGCGTTGCAAGCGTTTCTCCCAGCGTGTTCCGAGGCACCCAACACAGCTGAGGGCGTGGCAGCTCAGAGCGCTGGGACTCACAGCCACAGGTTAACATCAGCTGTACGGGCTGACAATCCTGAGAAGCACTAACCAGTGAGCCAGGGGCATCAGGCTGCACATGGTCACATACCTTGCTGGGTGAGCCAGCCCTGATTTCCCTCCCAGCTTCTCCTCTTTAGTGGCAGAGCCTAGGCAGCCGGGACCCCAAGGCCACCAGCTGGCCTTGTGCTACCTTCTGAGTCCCTGCTTTCTCAGACTCTTTTTTTTTTAAAGATTTATTTTTATTATTTTTTTTTTATTGTAAAGGCGGATATACAGAGAGGAAGATCTTCCGTCCGATGATTCACTCCCCAAGTGAGCGTAACGGCCGATGCTATGCCGATCTTAAGCCAGGAGACTCTTCCAGGTCTCCCACACAGGTGCAGGGTCTCAAGGCTTTGGGCTGTCCTCGACTGCTTTCCCGGGCCACAGGCAGGGAGCTGGAAGGGAAGCCGGGCTTCCGGGATAGAACCAGCGCCCATATGGGATCCCGGGCGTGCAAGGTGAGGACCTTAACCACTTGCATCACCGTGCCGGGCCCTTCTCAGACTCTTAAAGAAGAGTTTATGTGATTTGTGTTTTCTTTGTTTTTGCTCTAGCATGTGGATTTAAACTCTCTACAAAACAGCAGCTACTCTTACGTTTTTATTATCTCCATAGGAGGTCTGGGGTACTTTTGGATTCAAGAATCTCTTAAGGATTCCTAAGTCTTTATTTGCTGAGTTTGTCCAACACCCTACCACTGCCTGGGTCCCAATTCACTCTGGGTTTTTTTTTTTTTCCTTCTTCTTCTTCATTTTTCTCTTTATTTCTTTTTCATTTTGTTTTGTTTTTGTTTTTGTTTTATTTGGAAGGCATAGTTCAGAAAGAGGGAGATCTCCCATCTGCTGGTTCACTCCCTAAATGACTGCGGTGGCTAACACTGGGCTGGGATGAAGCCACGTGTCAGGAGTCCCCTCTGGGTCTCCCATGTGAATGCAAGGACCCAAGCACTGGGGCTCTCTTCCTCTGCTTTCCTAGGCCGTTGCCCAGCGAGTCCTCTGTGCTCCATCAAGGTTCCTCTTGTACCTCCACGTAACTTGACGCTGGCCTTTTGTTTTCTGGGGAGGAGGCACCTAGGCTGTCAGCATTCATCTATTTTCATGTCTTAACTGAAATGTCCATTTTAAAAAGTCCCAACTTTTGCTCCAGATGAGCTAATGAACAATGGTGCACCACTCCCAGGCTGGGGGAGTGGGAGCTCAGCATGCCCTAGGTCACATGGCACAGAGGCTGGGCAGTAACTGCCGGCAGCTCCCCGCTCCCCTGCCTTCCCACAGACCTCCCAAGGCCAACAAAGTATTTTCTCTGGACACACTGTGTTCCTTTTCCATTCTCATGAGCCCTTGTGGAAACTCAGAAGCCTGATCCTCCCCTCTGTAGTACTCAGTCCAGGTCACCCATGTGGCTCAATTCCAATGGTCATTTTCAGTCTTCATCTTACTTGACCACTGGGTCACATTGGATGTCGCTGCTCATTCCCTCCTCTTCCAAACAGTTCCGTGTGGTCTCTCAGGTCTCTCCTCACCTCGATCCTGAGCCGGTTCTTTCTGCCTCTGGATGTTGATATATGCTGCCGTGCCCCAGCGGCCCAGCCCTTATCCCTGTCTCATGCCCACCCATGGTGATCTCATCTGGTCTGGCCCTGTGCAGTGCTCTGCCTGCAGCTTTCCCTGCACCCTGCAGCCAGGACCCCCATCCCGCAACAGTGTGGCTTGATTCCTCCTCTCCTTCTGGTCTTTTCTTAAAGGCTAGCATCTGTTTGAGACCTTACAGGAACATCTTCCTTAAACACACACATCTCCTTCCTGTTGAAGTACTCCTACCCCAACTTCCTGTATTTCTCTTCTGTGTCTTGTTCCTTTCTCTGTAAGACAGGGACCCCTGGCTTACTTCCTATTTACTCATTTCTTTCTTTCTTCTTCTTTTTTTAAAATTTATTTTTATTGGAAAGGCAGATTTACAGAGAGAAGGAGAGACAGAGAAAAAGATTTTCCATCCACTGCTTCACTCCCGAAATGGCCACAATGGTCAGAGCTGAGCCAATTCAAAACCACAAGCCAGGAGCCAGGAACCTCTTCCAGTTCTCTCACACGGGTGCAGGGTCCCAACACTTTGGGGCGTCCTCTATTGCTTTCCCAGGCCACAAGCAGGGAGCTGGATGGGAAGTGGAGCAGGTGGGACACAAACCAGTGCTCTTATGGAATGCCAGTGCTTGCAGGTTAGCCTGTTGGGCCACTGCCCCAGCCCCCACCCAATTATTTCTGCTTCTGCTAGAATGTAAACTTCCTGAGGGTAGGGACCTGGAGTACGGGATATCAGTTCTGTACTCCAAATACCTAACTCAGCCCTGCCCATAGCAGGCATGTCCACCCACATTGCTGGGTGGATGAATGTGTGGAAATAACAGTCTCGTTCCTCTTTCCATCTGCTGTACACAAAAAAGCTGCATGAACTTCCCAGATGCAGGGTCTGCCAGCATTGCTCACCTCAGCAAAGCACGCCCATCTGTGCTCTCCTTCAGCCACATGGGACCCCTGAGCAAGCAAAACTCGGCTTCAGTGACGCAGGATTTGTTTTGAAGACAGTTATCAAAACAACAGAAACTATCTCAGCACTAATTTATATTATTGTATGCTGAAATTGTACCAACCCCCACAAAAATGTCCATGAAAATCAATTCTTCTTTCTTTCTCTTTCTTTCTTCCTTGCACTGAAAAAAAAAAAAATAGAAAAGTCCCGTATATGTGTAGCCTGCATTCTATCAAGCAGGAGAGATCTAGAAACTTCCATACACACTAGAGGAAAACCATCCACACTCCTCCTGTCTGATTGAAAGGTGCACTCAGTGCTCCTCCTCCCCGCCTGCTATGCAGCACACTCCAGCAGGATTGCCTGTCTCCCCACCCCCACCGCCCTTTCTGCATTCCAGTGTCCACAGCTGATCCTTTCCCAGTGACCTTACTCCTCCACCTGCCTCCTCCCTGCAGCCCTCGCGAGCGTCTGCCCCTCCATCCATCCTTAGGTGGCTGACTCCTGCCATGCACACTTCCCACCTCACAGTTTCATGGGTTTAAGTGATTTGCAGGTGGCCGATCCTCCTCCTCTTGCCCAGCCCCCAACTCAATCCCTTGTCCCATAGACAGCGACTGGCAGGTAGAGTCGAACTCCTGCCCAGCCCCTAGTGATCACCCCAGTCCTCTCACCCCATCCCATTTTCTTGTTGGATAAGAAGTACAGTAAACAGGGTATGAATGCCACTCTTCCCCGGTCATGCCACTATAGCGTGCCTACTGCCTAGGTATGGGGGCACTTCCCGCCCTGACTGACGCTTTGAAGATGGATGGAGTGCGGAGCCCGGAAGTCCCATCCACCTGCCCCCTGGCGCGTTTCGCAAGCGTCGCCCGGCCCGAACTCTAGGACCAGCACCAGTGGCGCATGCGCGTATCCCAGGGGGCGCGCGGAGGGGCGCACGAGGCCAGCAGGGCGGGGACAGGGAGCTCACGTTGGCCCCACCCACTTGCGTCGACTATAAATTCCTTCTGCCCGGGGGTTGGGGCCGCCGCCTTTCCTGGAAAACTCGGAATCGTCAAAGCTGCGGCATCACCATGTCCACCAAGTCGTCTATGGTTCTTGGCTACTGGGATATTCGCGGGGTGAGTGCCGTGTCCGCGTCCGGTCGCTCCCCTCCGGCAGGGAGGCGGCCAGGGCCGGGGGTCAGCAGCCAGGGCCGGGGGTCAGCGTCCAGCCGTGCATCCCCGGACGGCCGGGCTGGGGGTCAGCGGCCTCTTCCCCGCGGTACGGCGCAGGAAGCCTGGGCCTGGCCGCCCGGGCTCCTTGGCGCGCCCCTGCCCCGCCTCTTGCATCTTTGGGCCCGGCGGGGAGAAGCGGAAAGAGGCCGGGCTCTGGGACCGCTTAACGACCGCCCCGGGCGGGATGCTGGGTCTGGGCAGCCCTGGGCCGGGGGACGTTGGCGAGCGGGGGTTGGGAGCCGGTGGCCGCCGCGCAGGCGCCGACCCCGGGCCTTCTCCCCGCCGCAGCTGGCGCACGCCATCCGCCTGCTCCTGGAATTCACGGATTCTCGGTACGAGGAGAAACGGTACACGTGCGGGGAAGGTAAGGTCTCCTAGAGCCGGCTCTCCCTACCTCTCTACCCAACCCTGTCCAAGCAAAGATCGTCTCGTGCCCAGGAAGTCACATCTGGCCAAGGCCTGGTGGGGACACCGTCGCCTCCCTACCCCAGGCCCGGGAGCCCTGCTGCGGCCCGCCTTAGGAGATCTGCATCCATTGTGCAGGAGTTGGGGTATCGCGCTAGGCTGGGTTAGTGCTTAATCGGATAAACCCCGGACACCAAATGGTTAAGCCTTGGGAGGGGGCTGGGAATTTGAGGTGGAGAAACTCAGCCACATTGGAATTTTGCACTTGTTCAGGCTGGGTTGGGAGGAGGTTGGGCCCCACTTGGTTCTCTCTCTTACAGCTCCCGATTATGATCGAAGCCAGTGGCTGGATGTGAAATTCAAGCTAGACCTGGATTTTCCTAATGTAGGTGGCTTGAGGAGGAGAGGGAAGGCCTTGACTGTGCCCCTCCTGGCTGCTGCCATCCTGGCGCCAGCGGGTTCTGTTCTAGGGGTGCTTGCTGTGTGCAAAGGCGGTAAAGCTCAGGGGGTCCTTGAACTGGAAAGGGAAGATAAAATCAACATTTTCCTTTCTACTAACAAAAGCTAACCTCTCCTCCTATGCTCACCAGTAGAAATCAAGGCTTTTCATAGTTTGTTAAATGTGTTGTGAGTATCTTTAAAGTTATTCCCATTTTCTACTTTGAAAACGTGGTAGTTAATAGACCTGCTATGGAATGCATGAAGCAGCACATTTTACTGTGAGGCTAGCTCACATTAAAAGAGAAGTTCATGTTGATGCAGAAATGTTGAAATCCAGGCCAAAATGTGTTGTGAAAAATTTTGCTTGAATTTCAGGATTTTTTTTTTTGCAGTAAAATAAACTTATTTTGTATTTCCATTAATCCACAGACTTTCAGAAGTATCCTCATATAATAGTTTTGCTTTAAAATGTGTACTTGCGCAAGTACACCTAATTGGCCTTAGCGTTTGAGAACCTTATTCTAAGGAATGCTCTGTGGCTTGCATGCCTGCACATCTGTGCACACTTGTCCAGACTCAGGGTGACTGGCTGCTACCTTGTTCTCTGCTTCCTTGTGGATTCTTCTCTCCTGCTCACGAGCAAGCAAGGTGGTAGTTGTTCATGTGGCCTGTCCTTTTCCCCTTGCAGCTGCCCTACCTCGTGGATGGCAAGAACAAGATCACTCAGAGCAATGCCATCTTGCGCTACATCGCTCGCAAACACAACATGTGTGAGTGGGGGCAGGGCTCAGGAGGGAGAGCAGGCCACCTGTGCACCTGGTGCACCCAGCGGTGCCTGTTCCCAGACACTGGGATGTGTTGTCATGTGACCTACAGGTGGTGAAACTGAAGAAGAGAAGATTCGTGTGGATATCATGGAGAACCAGATAATGGATTTCCGTATGCAGCTGGTGCGGGTGTGCTACAACGCCGACCACGTGAGTGTCCGCTGCGGCCTGGCTGATTTGGCGTCTCCGGATAAAGAACCAGCCTTCTTTATTCTGTGTCACCCTTCTGGTGTCGGCTCCTCTTGCTTTCCTAACCCCTTCTTTCCACCCTGGGTAAAGCCAGTGAGCAGGGACTATCGAGTGCCCGCCCCTGGCCTGTGCTGTGATTAGCTGGGAACGGCTAGAGCCATCCTGTGAAGGTGCTAACAGTTACTTTTCCTCCCTCTTTTTTTAACCTCTCTCTGTCTTTTCCCAGGAGAAAATGAAGCCTCAGTACCTGGAACAGCTGCCTGGGCAACTGAAACAATTCTCCTTGTTCCTGGGGAAATTCTCATGGTTTGCAGGAGAAAAGGTGGGGAGAAGGGAGAAGAGAGGCCCTCGTTCTGTCTGCAAGTGGTGATGAGCACCCAAGAGCTGACCATCTGTTGTCCTGCTTCTAGCTCACCTTCGTGGATTTTCTCACCTACGACGTCTTGGATCAGAACCGGATGTTCGAGCCCAAGTGCCTGGATGAATTTCCCAACCTGAAGGCTTTCATGTGCCGTTTTGAGGTGATGCTCTCTGGTTATACTTTTCTTGTGGAAGTGTCCCCCGGGGCCCCTGCAAACCCCACTGGGGCAGTTTGTAAGTCTTGGGCCAGTCCTGGTTTCCCCACCCCTGAGGCATTGTCTGTGAGGAATGGGCAGGTGGAGGCAGGCAGCACAGGAATGTGGAGGTGTGGGGCCAGGCCATCAGGCTGGGCTAGGGCCTTTACAAGGTTTGCTGTGTTTTCCCATTAGGCTTTGGAGAAAATTGCAGCCTACATGCAGTCAGACCGCTTCTTCAAGATGCCCATCAATAACAAGATGGCCAAGTGGGGCAACAAAAGTGTGTGCTGAGCGTTAGGCCTGCTGGCACTGCTTGTTTGGTTCGGACCTGTCTCTAGGGGGCCTGTACTCTATTCTCTCTGCTCTTTTCAATAAACTGCACTTAGACTACTGGTGTCCACGGTTTTCTCTTGCGCCCAAGGAGAATAAGGATGTGTGCGAAATGACCAGCATCTGCCTCGTGGACATCTTCTTCCTCAGCAGTTGACGAGAAGGGCCAGGACATCCTGCTGAGCCTTGAGAGCGGGTACTAGAAACAGAGTGCGCAGTTGAACATCAGGGCTTCTGAGTGGGACTGGCTTCCCTGTGAGACCTGGTGAGAAGTCCAGCTGCAGTACAATGGCTCTGGCCAAAATAAAGTTCAGCCACAGACCTGTGTACATGGAAAATCAGTGTGACAGAGGCGGTGTTTCTTTACAGACTTTTTTGTTTCAAAGGTAGACTTACAGAGAGAGAGGGTCTCCCATCTGCTGGTTCACTTCTGCACATGAACCCAACAGCCAGTGCTGGGCCAGGCTAAGGCCAGGAACCAGGAGCTTCATCCAGGTCTCTGATGTGGGTGCGAGGTGGTCCAAGCACTTGGGTCATCCTCCTGCCTCATCCCAGGGAGCTGAATCAGAAGTTGCCAACATTGGGCCCGGCCTGTAGCTTAGTGGCTAAAGTCCTCACACGTGCTGGGATCCCATGTAGGTGCCAGTTTGTGTCCTGGTGATCTCACTTCCCATCCAGCTCCCTGCTTGTGGCCTGGGAAAGCAGTCAAGGATGACCCTAAACCTTGAGACCCTGCACCCAAGTGGGAGACCCGGAAGAGCTCCTAGCTACCGGCTTTGGATTGGCACAGTACCAGCCGTTGCAGTCACTTGGGGAGTGAATTACCAGACGGAAGATCTTTCTTTCTGTCTCTCCTTCTCTCTGTATATCTGACTTTGCAATAAAAATAAATAAATCTCAAAAAAAAAATACTGATGCCCCCCCAAATGTTTAAAAGATGTTTCTTATCCAAGGAACTGAACATTAAGAACAGTGTGGGGCCCGGCACGGTGGCGCAAGTGGTTAAAAGTCCTCGCCTTGCACGCCCGGGATCCCATGTGGGCGCCGGTTCTAATCCCGGCAGCCCCACTTCCCTTCCAGCTCCCTGCCTGTGGCCTGGGAAAGCGGTCAAGGACGGCCCAAAGCTTTGGGAACCTGTACCCGCGTGGGAGACCCGGAAGAGGCTCCTGGCTTCGGATCGGCATAGTATCGGCCCATTGCGCTCACTTGGGGAGTGAATCATCGGACGGAAGATCTTCCTCTCTGTCTCTCCTCTCTGTATATCCGCCTTTCCAATAAAAAAATAATAAAAATAAATCTTTTAAAAAAAAAAAAACAGTGTGCAAACATTTTTCTATCAGTGAACAAGAAGTTCCCAGCTCTAAGTGTGGGCAATTCTTGGCAAGTGATAGGCATTTCCTGCTAGTGGATTTATAAATAGCTATTTATATGTTGTCAGTATCTTGTGAAACTCATAGTCTGATCTTACAATTCTAAAAACCACCAGCTCCTAAAATCAAGTTGTAATGTTAAGAGAAATGAAACAGAGAAACAGCCACGTGGAGATTGGAGCTGTTGCTGTGGCAAAGCAGGTAAAGCCTCTGCTTGCAATGTTGGCATCCCATATGTGTGCTGGTTTGTGCCTGCTATTTCAATTTGATCCAGCTCCCTGCTAATGTGCCTGGGGAAAGCAGCAGATGGAAGCCATTTGGGGGGTGAATCAGCAGATAGAAGATACTTTTTCTCTCACTGACCTTTCAAAAGAAATCAGAAAGCATTGGCTATCCTCTCCATTTGCAGAGGGAAGCCTTGAGTGACCTTCAGCCTAAGACAGGACAGCACTGATCCGAAGCTGGGAGCTGGAAGCCAAGATCTCACCAGGAAGGGATGGATTGTCACTCCTATGGGCAGTAAGGTGCCAAGCGTTGGCCGCAGAGGTGGGAAGCTGAGGCCTCTGCAGGGTGCTGACTACTGCCATGAATTTCCATGAGGCGAGAGGGTTAGACATTCCGAAAGGGCTGTCAGGGAAAGAGGATGCCGCTGAGATCAGGTGGAAATATAGCCAGCAGTCTAGAAGGAGATGTTATTTGAAAGTTACAGAGAGAGACGAAGTGAGTGACAGGAGGTGGCACTATGAGGGAACTGCAGGACAGAAGACAAGGACACCATCAGTCCTGTTGTGCTCGGAGAAGAGGACCCTAGGAAGGAAGATGGCGGCAGGGCAGCCTGAGAGAGTGAGCGATGACCAGGGAGAAGTGTATGAAGCACAAGGTGCGGATGAAGCAGATTTCACCTGAGTTCTAGACAGACAAATCAGACAGGCAAATCACCTATTCTGCTTTTTCTAGGCTTTGTGTGTGTGAGTGAAAACCCACTTAACTGTTCTCCAAAGCCGATGACCTTACTGGCCTCGGAGGCAGAGAAAGCCAGATCCGTTTTGTAAGAAAGGTGGCTCTCACTCTTAATTGTCCCCTAACTCTCATTCTGACATGAACCCGGAAAAAAAGCTGTAATAATTGTCTTCAGGCAAGGGCAGGTGCCAGGCCAGTAGAGGGCGTGTAGTGAGACACTCCGTCATTCTATGAGCGCAGAGATACACAAATATTAAGGAATTAACAAGCCAGTGATGAATCCCCACATGCACCTTCAGTAAGAACCACTTTAAAAAACCCAAAAGAACAAAACTTGTGATAGGCATGTTAAGTTTGGGATAAGATCAGTTCCCTGAAGGGATTAGAGAAACTCATTTAAGTTTATTGTTGAAGGTTGATCAACCGGGTTAAGGTATTTCCAGCCCAGAAGGAAATTGTGTATGTTACTGAAGGACAATTCACTATGGAGTTGTTCCTCTAATCCCCTGGGCGGAGTGAGGGAAGCTGATAGGCCAGGACATGGAGCTGCCTTTCAAGCCAGCTTCCGGAGGGCTGAGGCGCAGCAGTCTCATGTTCCTTATCCTTCAGCCACAGGGCAGGTGGTGCCAATGAGCCGTGCCCATCCAGAGTGACTTGAGGAATTCAGCCAGGTAGTGGGGGAGTGGGAAGGAGTTGGGGTTTAGCAGGTGAATTTCCTACAACTGTGCAGATTTGCTCATGAAATGTTTGTAGTTCTGTGTCTTCAGCAAGATAAACTCTTGCCTGTAAGGGACCCTCATTAATCAGTCCTCTGTTTGGTTTCCAGCTGCAGCTGGCAAGAGTCCTTGTCCCTGCCTTGGAGCATAGCCTACCTATGGGACTTCCCTAGGAACAGCACAAGCTGAGCTTCGAACCAGAGCCTGGGCTCAATGTCTTCTCTGATAAGTGAAACATCCCCCATGAGGATATTAGGAGAACCAAGTCAGTATTTCTAGAACACTTGGAACAGATCAATGTTACATAAATGAGTCTCTACCAGTTAACCCAAAGCACCTTGTTCCCATTCACATCGTCACGGTCTGGTACATGCTGTTCCCACTGCCTCTTGCATTCCCCAGCCCCTTGGTTAGGAGTCACTTCAGGTAACCCTGGTGGAAATTATGGATGAGGGCCGCTAGATTTTCTTTTTCCTTCGAGAAAGCTTCACAACCCCACTGAAATGAAACACAGCCTCGTAACTCACTGTGGCCAATTCCACATGTGTAGAAATCATCACATGTTTTCTGGACAGAAGCTGAAGTTATCAAATTCACTTCCCTGACCAAAGGCCATGAGTAGGAACAGGTGCCAGGTTCCAGTCTCCATCAGTCTGGGTGTCTGATGGCAAACAGCAGAGTGGACCACCCTAGATGGGGAGCAAAGACTGAAGTAAGCCCACTAAAGTTTGCCTTGTCCTGACCAACATTACCTCTCCTCTCCCAGGTGAATTTAAATATTAAAGTTTCAAATTTCAGTTCCCATTGGGTTCACTGTTTTTCTGAATAGGCCCTAAACACTCTAATTACTTAAGATGTCTGTTTCTCCCACTAAACTATGAGTCACCTGAAAGCAGGAACTATGCTTTTCATAGATGTTTTTTAATTCCATATTTGTTTCAAGCCTGGCACACAATACGTACTCCTAGTCACACTTGACTGCCTGCATTCTAATGAGATTTGAAGGAGGGTGTTTGATGCCCTCAAGGAAATGTTAAAGATTCTCCTGTGTTCTGCTTGGAAAGCAAGACCCAGGGAAATGGAATGCCCTGTTCTTAAAATGGAGAGTTCATGTAGACATTTTTGAAGTTGGGATAAAAGTTCAGGTTCAGAGTGGTCCTAGAAGGTCAGCCAGGAATTCTGAGACTGGCAAGTGTCCAGGATGTGTTTATATTTGAAAACAAACAAAAGTCTGGTACTGGGGTCCATGCAGTGGGTGTGGATGACATGGAGGTATAAAGAGAACAGCTCCCCTGTTGGTAAGGCCGTGAGGAGCTGCCAGCTGAATGGCAAGGCCTGGCAGATGTCTCTCCAACCACCTTGACACAGTTTCACCCCATTTGCATGGACACTCAGCCACCACAAAGAATTCTGTAATCTATTGAGGGGTTGTTGTTTGCCCCTGTGAGATGAGTTTTATAACTGATATGAGCGTGGGAGTTAATGTTGTTGATCATATCTTGGTGAGTGCGCCTTTAACAATTTACACACAGGAGTACGATTAAACCCATGCTGTTTCTGGACACCTTATTCTGTGCCTATTACCTCG